ATCAGGGGAGGGAAATACAAACAGTGACGTAGACAAACATAGAGTAAAATAATGAGCAACATTCATTCATCAAGAAATCAAGAGAAACCAAAAATTGGAAAAAGCAAATGGACTACTCACCATTTTAATGTAGGGATTTTCAGCAAGGAGGATATAGCTTGACATAGGCTGGGAAAGAAGGAGAGAGGAAAAGTCAAGGTAAGCAAAAGGGAAAGAAAAGAATGGTGTAACTTGGGAGCTGCCTATACGGCAATGAAGTGATCTGTGATTTCAGTGCAGTGTATCTATGGAGACTGTCAGTCATCCAGGTCAGAAAGTCAGTCAGACCTGAAGAAGCTTCTTGGATGACAAGCGAAATGTCTTCAAGGGAAAAACAAAGTGCAGTTGCCTTTTGAAAAAGCACCTTTGGGATTTCAATGCAGTAGATTTAACAACCAGGTAACAGCAATAAGCAATAGCACTTAAGACTTACATACCGCTTCACAGTGGTTTACAGCCCTCTCTAAGCGGTTTACAGAGTCAGCGTATGGACCCCAACAATCTGGGTCCTTATTTTACCCAACTCGGAAAGATGGAAGGCTAAGTCAACCTTGAGCTTGGTGAGATTCGAACTGCCAAATTTCAGACAGCCGACAAAATTTGACTGCAGTACTGCATTCTAACCACTGTGCCATTGTGGCTCTTAATGGTTGATTACAGTCACAATAACCTCAACCAAGGGATGGGGAACTGTATGGAAAGTATCAAGATGTTGGGCAAAACTGCTGCAGAACCATGTCACAGCAGTCAGGCCTTCTGGAATCTCAGTATCCCAGTTACCCCAGATTACAACCTCTCTGCACTGATCAAATTTCTCACCGGCAGTGGCTCTTCCTCCAGGGTTCCATTGTGCACAGATTCCGTCTGTGGCTCATCCCCTCGGTCACGATGCTTTGGAAGCTTCTTCTCTTTGGATTTTTCCTCCTTCTTATGCTTCTTCTTTTTATGCTTGGATTTCTGTAAGTGCACATAGACCAAAAGTCAGCTTCCTGGTTCCTCAGCTGCCTCTTGGCTCACCAGTAAAAGTTGTTTATCTTGGACAAGTGATGTATCTGCCAGAATCTGCTGCTAAAATTCATGCTGGCCAACTTAGCCCTCTGCCTAAGATACTGCTGATCAAAGACAGTTCAGAAATTATAGCAGATTCAAACCATACTGAAACTATTCCCAGATGAGATACAGGTTGCCATTATCAGTGACTGGTCAAGAAGCATCTGTTCCCAGGCAAAATACAGAAAAGCGGAGTACTCTACGCCACTCACCTTTCCTTCATCTTCTTCCTGAAGTTCCTCCTCTTTCTTAGGTTCTTCAGGTTCCGTCGGATCTACACTGACTTCAGGCAGGTCCTGCTAAAGAAACAAAGTGGGATAATGAAAGCCAGCTTGGTCTAAGAAACCACAGAAAATATGTGGGTTAAGTCATCCAGGTATGATCCCTGTTCGTATTAATCCAAATGTCCTCAATGTAGTTAGTCTCCTTCTCCAAACCTCCTTGGGAATGGGCCACACAAAGGAGCCCACCAACTGAAAGTCCATGCCAGCATCTTTGCTCACTTAATGGGGTCACCACTCAAAGCACACCTTAAAGCTGTAAGGCAGAAGAGGGCAACCTTGTATGTAGCCAGATACTGCAGGTGTGTGTGAAAATGACATAGCTGAAAGAGGCAGGGCTAGATTTTCCATTTCCTTTTTTTTGCATTTGGCTTTCTGGTGTTTTGACTAAAATAGAAATGTTAAGCTTATTTTACTCCTTAGTTTTGAAAAAAACAACACCCAAATAAATAAAACCACCTTCTCATAATTTGAAACTTTGTCTCCAAAATCCAGTTGTATAATCATGGGGAACTCGGTTGGCTGCAATAAAAGGGCCTGATAAGTCACATATGATTTGTGGGTTGCCCATCCCAGTTATAAGAATATCTTAATAGTTCTCAATTTGTAATCAATGGCCACAACTTCAACTATGAGCTCACGAAATGATACTCTCAATCAGGGTCTCCTTAGGATAAAGGACATCAGCATGTGCAAAGAGCAGGGATTTCTCTCAGTTGTAAAGAGCCTTGGAGAAAATAAGTGAATAGCAGGGAAAAAAACCTCCTCCTCTCCCAACCTATATACATGCACTTCTGTATTTTAGGAAATTCAAAAAGCATCACTTGTCAAGGAGGTTAGTGATAATGTAAAAGCATGGAAGGAATCAGCATGTTTTTTTTTAATGGCAGGAGATAATATTTCCTCTGACGTTGCAGTTGTTGTTATGGGGAGGAGGAGAGAGAGGGTAGAACCAGTGGTGGGATTCAGCCAGTTTGGGCTGGTTCGGGCAAACCGGGTGTTAAATTGCTGGCTGGCCCCACCCTTTCCTGCCCCGTCCTTTCCAGGAGCCCTCCTGCGCACTGTTTTGACTCCCAGGTAAGTGCAGGGAGGCCTACTAGGCCCAAAATGAGGCATGAGGGGGGACAGAGCCCCCCCTCCCGGGGCCATTTTTGCTCCCAGGTTGGTGCAGGAGGCAGAGTGCTGCCTGTCACACTCCTGGCCATGCCCACCATGGCCACACCCACCCATCCAGTCATTAGGGCAGAAATCTGGTTGTTAAATTATTTGAATCCCACCAATGGGTAGAACCTCCTGCAGGAAACAGAATACTTCCTCCTATGGTAGATGATACTTTCAAGAATTTTTTTTTTCTACAAGGAAAAGAAATTCACTTCTCTGTACCCTCTGAGGTCATAACACTCAATACCACTGCTAATGCTCTCCTCACCAAATTTGTAGATTAAATGCAAAGCTTAATTTAACAACTTGTTTAATTTGGATCCAAAATAGAAAGGGAAGGGAAGGAAAGGATGCTATGAGAACTCCCTTCTCTTCCCTGGAAAAGTGGAATCAACATTTCTAGAGAAGGAAAAGTTTTTCAGAGGTTCTGCTGCAGTTTATCAAGGAAAAACTAACCTTTGCCTCCATGGCAGCGACAGGTGGCGGGGTATCAGAAAGCCACAGGTCCACATCTTGAGCCTGGAAGAACCACCCAAAAAATATTTTAGGCAATTATTATTGGACAATTTCAAGCATTCAAAGCACATATTCTATAAGGCTCCCACACTGCACTAGGCATAATGTTGTTTGCTTTGTTTGAGCTCAACAAGAGATATGAACTCAGCCACTGTGATCTGGAATAAACATCATGTGCCCCCATAATGTTTACAGGAATATTGTATTCCTTAATAATATTCTTAATGCTATAGGTGCAAGAGTTGCCACCAAATCAACTGCAAGGTATAGTCATTTAAATCTCAATCTAGAATTCTGGTTGTATCTGCAAATATGCCATGCTTGTTCAGAAATATTTGAGTATCTTTATTATTTGCGTTGTAAATATTTATAATAAATAAATGGATAAATATTATAAACAGTACATAGAAGTTTTTATTAAGTTAGACTCTTTGAAATAGGCTACATTTCACTGTTCCTTATAAGGCACCTATGACTATTGAGAAGCTCTTAAAATCTTCATTGGACTTCTACGATTGTAAAAAATATAGCAGGCAGAAACAAGGAAATTACCTTTTTGTCATCTTCATCTGCTTTTCTTTCCCGCTCTTTTCTTTTTTCTTTCTCCCTCTCTTTCTCTTTGTGTTTCTTTTCCTTCTTTTTTGGTTTCTTGCTTTTCTTTTCAACCAGGGGGGCTTGCGTTTCTTGTGGAGATTTAAGATTGTCGACATTTCGATGCCTCTGCACAGGAAGTGCCTCACTGTCTGTTAAAGGCCTTAACAAAAAAGATGGTAATATCTTCAATGAAATTCCACCAAATGTCTCCCTCAGCTTCCAAAAGCAGTTTAGGGTCAGCATAGAATGTCAGAGTGAATTAGTTTCACTACATAGTAAAAGGCGAAAGATTTATACGATCTGAAGAGAAACCAGCTTGTAGGTCTGCACATATTCTCCCCTTATTAGAGAGATTGCCAGGGAGGGCAGACAATTTTTATCTAGGCTTTCTCCTTCAGNGAGTGTGTGTCCTGCTCTATGAGTTGGACTCTGAACTACTTGGATCAAGTCCATGGTTGTCATGGAAGCCATGAACTCCTGCGCCCCGTCAGAGTGTTCACCAAGAGGTGGCAGATTAAAGTCCCCCAGTACCATTTGTCTGGGGAACTCCACCGCCAACCCGGCTACTGACTCTAGCAGCGCAGGCAGGGCTGTCGTGATGCAGCTGGGAGGCAGGTACGTCAAGAACAAGCCCAATTGAACCCCTAGGTCAAACTTCAAAAGGAGAGACTCACACCCCACAATCTCTGGGGCAGGGATCCTGCGAGGAGCTAACGACTTTCGGACGATAACTGCCCCACCCTTCCCTGGTGTCGTGGTTGGTGGAGCACCTGGAACCCATCTGGGCATATTTCTGAGAGGGAAACTCCTCCCTCTTGGCCCAGCCAGGTTTCAGTTATACATGCCAGGTCTGCCTCCTTGTCTAATATTAAGTCCCAGACGAGGGAAGCTTTGTTCACCACAGACCTGGCATTTAGCAACAACAACCTGAGACCAGGGCCCTGATCTCTTCTGCCACCAGATCCTTGAGTTGAGCTTGAGGGGCTGGAACAAGGAATTGCTGTAATGTAGCGAGTCCTTCTTCCCCGGTAATGGCTAGCCCTATAGCTCCCATCATATCTGCCCCTCCCGGTCGTAACCGAAATGCTCTGACCCTCCCCCATCCCCGTAGACCCTCCTCCCTCCCACATGGCCCCCATTCTTCCAGCAGGCCACACGCACCATTCACTCTAGGCGGGTCTGGGCCCCCATCCACTTCTGCTTCTGCACTCAGTGGAGGGGGCTCCAGGTCACACTCCTGATCCTATCATATACACTGATCAAACATTCTCCTCAAACACACCCCACAATAATCATTAAAATACAATACAGTAATACAACAATTAATTAAATTAAAAAGTGGGCGCATTCTCTCTCACATTCATACATTCATGCACTCAACACACTGGCTAAAAAACGCAGTTCTTAAGTCTGCAGACTTAAGGCGGTCAGCGCAAGTCCGAGGCGGTTGGGCCAGTAGTAATTTGGGTGGGAGAGGTTCCTCGGTCTTCTCCCCTGTGGGGCCTGCCCAGGTTGATGACTCCTCGTGGGATTCCGGTCGGTGTGTTAAAGGCCGGGAGAAGCTTCTCCCCAAGTTCTAGAGCTTTGCTCTTGAAGNTTGTCATCTTGTACCAATTATCTGGACATATCTCTAACAATCTTTGGACCATTGTATTTACTCCTATACTTAACAGTATTGCACCCAGGTAAACCAGGGAGTGGCCCAAACAATCTGAGAACATGTATGTTATTTTCCATATTTAACATCAATACCTTTTAATTATATCTTAATGTCAGTATTTTTTAACATAGTGTAAAAACTAATGTGTATTGCTGGTCTTTGACCGTAATAAATATTTACCTACTTACTTACACATTATCGCGCACATTTAGAGAACACTTAGATCTTCAGTGCATCAGGTAAAAGATATTAAGAGGTATTGTCCTGACAGCTATGAGCATTTTGTCAGTGAATAAAGCAAAAATGAAATTGTAGCAAAACAAAGCTTTGTTGGGATCTGACAACTTAATGCCAACAGGACATTGAAGGATTTGAGTAATTTCTTGCCTCCAGCAAAATTCTTCTATAAGCAACACACAGGAAAAGAGTAATGCTGTAAAGGTGTCAAAAAAATCCCCACTTCTAATTAAGAACATTTCAATAGGTCTTGAGGGCAAGAATTTTCAGCAGGCTACAGTATCTAGAAACTAAAAACAATTAATGTGTAAAAAATATTCAAGTGAACAATCTAAGGTTTAGGGAGGAAGTAACTCTGGAACATCTGTTTCCTTTATTCTTTTATGTATTAAGCTCTTTTTCTCTCTCTGGGTAATTAGATATGTAGCTATTCTCATTTTTAAAAAGTTGCCAGATAGAATAGATGCTGCTGCGATGATGCGCATATACTGTACAGAGTTCAATTCAAGAGGTGGCAGACTTTTAGACTGGATCATAATTATGCAGACTGCATGTAGAAATTGCAGGATGAAATGGCAGAAGAAATACCTAAATTAACGCTAGAGGAAAACAAAGAGTGAATCCAACTGGAGAAAAGTGAAAGCTTTATTGGAACTTATCTTGGGGCAATGATTATCAACCAGGGCAACCCAGTCCCTCCTGAGCCAATATATTATCTACAGGATAATTGTAAGAACTACGGTATTCTTAACAACTGATGAATTAAACCACTCAGATTTACTCGGAGTTGGACTCGATGGACAACACACTGAAGATGATTGGGGCACAGTCTTGTATTGACATCAAAGAGGAGTTTGAGTCTGCTACTCCTGAAGAGATAGACAAGATTTTCAGTGCTGTGGGTTCATGCACTCATTATTAAATTTCCAATCTTGAGTGTGGGGTGGAACTGCACTATTGGGATTTCTTTCTGAAGTCACAGGAACTGGGTTGTGGTTTTGACAAAGGCAACAACCTTTGCACAAGATTTTTGTACATGCCAATGAGCCACTTATGGATTGGGAGAACTTGCTTATTCATACCTTAGCTACCTCCCAGCTGGATTGTTATAATATACCTTACATGGGACTGTTCTTGAAAACCATCCAGAATCTACAATTGGTCCACAATGTAATGTGCAGGTAATAATGGGCATTTTTAAATATGGCCATGCGTGGCCTTTAACTATGGCCCTTTAAAACCCCATATGGCATAGGATCAAGTTACTCAAGCCATCATCTTCTGCCTAGGATACTTGCTTCCTACATCTTGTGATAGGGAGCTATGCTCAGAATCACTTCATTAAAATAATGTTATCTTTTGAGACTCAGGATTTTTACCAACTTCTTGATGATGCCTCCCATCTTTCAAAATAATCTTCTTCCTGACATTTGGTTGATATTCTGGCTTTTAGAAATGCTGTCAAAATCTGTTCTCCCCCACCCTCCCCCAAAGGATTTGGCTCATTAGAGTTCTGATTAGATGTTACTGCTGCTTGAACCACCATTTTATTGCCTTTTTGTTTCAATTTTTTTTGTGAACATATGCATTACATATTTTTTTTTGGGGGGTGCTTCATTTGCTGCTCAGAGTTACTTTGGATAGTAATATAAATGTTTTAAATATATTCTGATTTCTCTTCAAATTGTGTGTGTGTGCATAAATATGATAATTAAAATAAATAAATAAATATATGCCAGAGAAAGTATGCTGAAAATTCTGTATTTAACTTTAATCTCTAGACCATATACTAAGGAGGGGTAATTATAATATCAAACATTTATTTTTCTTACTTTTCAGATCAAGTATCACTGGGAATAAATATTTAGACCATAATCCTATTGTGTTGAGCATGATATTTTTAAAGTCCTGAATGTGTAATCTTTGGAAGATTGAGGCAAACACATTTCAGTTTTTTTCTTGCATTCTACAAAAGTGAAAATATGTAGAAATTAAGCCATCGTTTTTTTATTAATGCTTTAATGTTTTAGATTTTTTTCTGTTCCTCTGTGTTCTGCCATGCATATTTGTTCATTAGATTTATTTTGTACAGCTCAAGGCTGCATACATAAATCCTACTCCTCTTCTTCTTCCCTATGGGGCAGGGCTGAGAGAGTTTGACTTCCCAAAGTCGCCTGGCCAACTTCTATTCTAAGTAAGGCACTTACAGCCAGTTTTTTAGTCTAGCACTTCAACCATTATACCACACTAATGCTGGTGTCCCAGAAGAGAGACTCATTAATACCAGTGGATCCTTCTTTCTAAATCAAACAGTAAACACGTTAGAGAAGCTATTTGGATTTTAGAAAATAACATTCATTTTTTTATATTTTAGTCCTGATTAAAGCCTTTTCCTACCTCTTCAAATCTTCCATATTTTCTTTAAAAATGCAATAATTAACATTATTTGCAGCAAATCCAGATTTAGCCCTAGGTTTAAAAGAATGATAAAAATTATACTACTGATACAATATATCAGTAGACTCTGCTATTTATAGTTGGTTTGAGCCAAGCAATTCAAAGCAATTCCAGCATTAATGATTTTTAGTTGGGGAGAAAGCATCCAATGAGTCATTTTCTATGAAATCAATGGAACTTTAAAAATCCCATTATTTATTGCATGAAGTAACTCATACGTTTAAGTACGTATAGTGTAAAAACAGTTCTGCTGCATGGTATTTCAGTTATATAAAATGTTTACTGCTGGTTAGCAATATTGCTTGAAGTTTATTTAACCATGATAAAGGCATTGCATGCTATACTTTTAAAGAATTATTGTATTTACAACTACCACCTCCCCTGCTCTCATTCAGAAGATTTGGAATCATAATACTGTATATTATGATTCAATTCAATCCTGTATATAATTGGATACAGTATAGAGACTATTTCAGTGTAGTCTGGCAAAACTGACTTTATTTTTCTTCCTTTATGATATAGCTGAAATAAATAAATAAAAATATTTGGCCTGAATCAGGATGTAATATTCAAAGCATATGAAGAAGTAGTTTCATATTATTCTATATTGATGAGATCCCATTTCATGTCCTGGGATTAACTTTGGGCATCACACTTCAAGAAGGATTCATACAATGGCATAAAGAAAAATTGGAGAAAGTGCAAATGTTCAGCCTTGAGAGAGTATTGTTCAAATATTTGAAAGGATATCATACAGGAGGACATAGTCTGTTCTTCATTTTTCCAGTGTCCCTGACACAAAATAATGCACTTAAACAAGAAGTCAGAATCTGGTTGAATGTTAGAAAAACATTCTAACAGCAAGAGCAATTTGACACAGAATCAGTTACCTAAGAGATGGATGGTTCCTGTGCATTAGATATGTTCAGGTAGAAACTAGATAGATGTCAGTCAGAATATTTTAACTGCACTGACCAAGGCGATTGTACTCAATGACCTATCCTCCTCTCCAATTTTAGGATACTCCAGTTATACAATAATGATAATTTCTTCTTCTTCCAGTATATGACGGCTGCTGCACCTATGCAAGGGACCTATATTCCCCAGTATACTCCTGTGCCTCCAACAGCTGTCCCTCTTGAAGTAAGTCTACCTTGTATATTTTTATGCAGGTAAAGTCTACATTGTTTTAGTTCACTTTAAAAAAAAATCTCATTAAAGAAATATAAAGAAATGGGTGTTAAACATTTGGTGTTTGTTTGCATTCAAGACAAGATGGAATATTCTATGCAGAGCTTCTTGCTCATAGGTAGCCCAAATGCTACCTTTTAGACTACAAACACTAAGGATAAAAGACTTCAAAGAATATTTTGACTCCATCTTACCACAATGATAAGACCCACTAGCAACTGCTAAAGCTAATAGCTACCACAAAACAGGTCTTGGAAAAAAGAAAAACTTCCCTCTTCGATATGCAGACCTGGAAGATGGCCCACTGACTAAGTGCTTTTTCAACCACAATAAAGAATTTGTTCTCTCCCTCCTTGTAAACCAGAGGTGTCAAACTCAAGGCCCATGGGCTACTTGGACCAGACCCATGGGGCTGATCTGGAGACAATGAAGGGCCAGTATGAGGTGCCTCTGCCAGCAAAAATGGAGCTCTGAAGGGCTGCATGTGGTCCTCCCAACCTTTGTTTTCACTGGCAGAGGGTTGCAGGAGTCCGTAGCAGATGGAAACGGAGCTCAGGAAGACCACACACATTTTTTCTGGCAATGCTTGGGCCATCACAGGCTCCCCCTCAAACTGGTTAGCCTGCCATGCCCCCCCCCCAAGGTCAAACACAACCATGATGTGCCTCTCAATGAAATCGAGTTTGACACCCCTGTTGTAAACCAAGTCTACTGATTAAAGTTCCAGGAAGTTCCTGTCCTTGGTCATACAAATCACAAACTTCACAAAGAACTATCATTCGGGTTCTTGTGCTCTTCACCTTGATAAAGCCTTCTAGGCAATTACTAGAGAGGAGAAACAAAAAGCCATGTTCATTTTTAAAGCTGTATATGTATGTTTTGGTTCATCGCAACTTTACTTCAGGCTACTTTTCACCCAAAAATATATTACATACATAGATATATATGATACAGGATGGGTTTGATAATTGGGTAATGAGCTTTGTCTTCCATAAAGTAGATTCACTTGCCACTTTTAATAGTTAAAGGCTGGGAAAGCACCGGGCACAGATGGTTTGACAGCGGCTTATTACAAAAATTTACAATTAGAAATGGTAGAACCCCTTAAGGAATTATTTAATAAAATCCAAGTGGAAGGGAAGGTACCTCCATCTTGGAAGACAGCTTTCATATCCCTGATACCTGAAGAAGATCAAGATCTTAGTCAACCAAAAAATTATAGACCTTATAGATCATTACTTAATATAGATTATAAAATTTTTACAAAAATATTAGCGAATAGGTTAATGTTGGTTATTCACCAACTGATTCATAATGATCAAACTGGTTTTATACAAGGGAGACAAATGAGAGGTAATGTAAGACATATTGTTAATATACTGGAATATTTGGGAAAGAATAACCAAATCCCCGCAGCGCTTATATTTCTAGATGCCGAGAAAGCCTTTGATTGAGTGCATTGGCAATTTTTAATTAAAACAATGCAAAAGATGCAAATTGGTGATTATTTTCTACAATCAATCAAAGCAATATATCAGGAACAAACAGCACAAATTATAGTCAATGGAAGTTTAACA